TCATTCATGCAGTGTGTTTTTCTGGTAACTTTCTTAATTCTTCAAGCTCATTATTGTTATTTTATCAAAATTTATACTATATTATTTCCAAATTGAGGAAAGTTAACGATAATATGAATTATGATGATATACTGAATAGAATCAGATTTGGAAATATTCGAATCGGAACATTGTGATTCGAAATTCGATACCAATTAGTATCTAAGCTCAGTCAGAGATAAAAAAGTTTGGAAACTGCGGTTGGTGTGAAGAAATTTGGTGTGGCAGCAAAGAAAATAGGTAATATATCATCTTTTCCACACATGGTAGGTGGGAATACGCGAATATATCTAAAAATCGTTAACATTGGGGTAATTGGGTTGTAACTTGTAATACGACGAAATCCTATCTTGGCATTTCTGCCTCTCGCGGCTAGTGCATGGATATTCCGAAAAAATTCTTGTGGCATGGGTATCACTTGGAGAAAGCAGGGCGGAATATTATACCTTCTAGCGATCTCAAACCTTGACATTTTGTGAGAATTTTTTTTCCATTCAACATTTTCACTACCTCCCCAACATCCACATTCCACAACCACAGACTCATTAAAGTTCCGAAACAAGCACATAAATTCATTAACAGATGATGCATTAGATCAGTGGTTCCCAAACTTTTTGTACCATCGCCCCCTAAAGTAGTTTATACAACTTCATCGCCCCCCAGCACTGCAGAAAAATGTGAAGTCAGAAACGAATATATTACAGACCAAATAAGAAGACACATCATATATCATAGTGTTTTTTAATGAGATGGATATGCTTGGTGTTCTTCAGCGAGTTTTATTTATTAGGTGACATTTTCGTCAGACACAATCTTAAATCACCCGTTTACTGATAAAAAGGCGATTTCGCTGTTCTGATAGCAATAGTAGCACGGCTGAAAACCCCTTTTGTACCATATAAGAGGTCGGAAATGAAAGAATCCAGGGTTCTACCTTCTCAAAAACCGCCGTGTGCCTACCTTATTACATTTAACTCCCCAAATTCACCCCATTTCACATTAAAATAATGAAAACAAAGTTAATTTTCCCAAACTTTTGATAATGATTTTCGTACACCTCATTCATCCCTACAGCCTGATGACCTGCAACAAAATACATGATATATAACGATCTTCGGTGAAATTCACTCTCGATTCCTCATCCTACCATGGCCTCCAGTCCGATCACCATTCCATAGAATTAATCAGCCATTTGTTTTTGATTCGTGGACTCGGATGTGGAAAAAGCTGTTTCCGACTATCGGCTGCGGCCCAGAGGTCGGCAAATTTTATGTCGCTCGCGGGACAAAATTAAGGGTTGCTAGTCTTTTGCGGGTCGCATATACTTTCTGAAAGTTAAAAACGGAACAGCGCGCGAAAACTGCGACAATTCATGAACTCAACGTCGTCGTCGTCCTTTTAAAAATTATTACAATGACATTTGATGTGACACTGCCTTGTTGCTGCATCACGCTTGATAGCTTTACGACGCCAAGGAACAGTTTCTAAATGGGCATCACTAATCCTAGTTCTTTGCTTGTTGGACACGTTTAGTGGACATAACGATCGTTTTGTTGTTCTTGTTGTTTTTTGACACTTTTTGGACACCTAGTGGAAATATTAAAAAACCGCTTTTCTCTTTGATCCCTGGACCAATTGCTTTGAAATTTTTAGTGGTTTAAGATAAAAATTTTCCCCAGAAGGCTGTTACTTTTATTCATTTTAAATATTTCTGTTAGCTCTGTGAGATTTGTTTTTGTTTGCTATGACGTCATTGAACTTTCTGCGGAAATAATTCTTACAAACATTAAGCAGTGATGAATCTCTCGAATAGAATATGAATTTTATTTCGGTATTGCATTGCAATATATTTGAATATTTACTGCGATTTTGAACCCCTGCACTCAGCATCAACTTTTCTGCGTGTTACCATTTGTCTAATTATAATTGAATTGTAGGCTCGTTAAACGAGTAGCAGCTGTTCACTAAATTGTTAGGATAAAATATAATTTAGTCTAAAGGTGTCTCACGATTAGTTCTGTTACGCAAAAAATGTAGTTTGCTCCTCGAGCGCAGATTATAAATAAAATTGATTCATCGTCAAAACCGCCTTTTTGTTTGTATATTGGATGTTTTCCCGGACATAGACTTCCTTTTTTACTTCGTGACATTGGCCAATCGGCAAGATGCAAAATAAACGTAACAATGCCCCTTTCGCATCCGCTCAGACGCTTTTCTCGCTCAGACAGATTTTTAGGCTTGGTCGTAAACATTACCTCAATTTCTCGGTTTTTGGATTGTATTTGTTTTTAGTTGTGTTTGGAAATTTAACAAAAAATCAAATAATTCAATGATCACTTTGTCTTCCTAGGAGTTTCAGTTTGATTGCAGTAATCAAAAATTAGAGTAGAAATAGCTGTGATAGACTAGGCTAAAAATTTTTACCGGTAATTTCAAAAAAAAAATTGTTGAATGGTATGAATTAGAACGATAGTTTGAAATACCCCATTTTACAGACGACAACTGGCGAAACCACTCTTAAAATAAGCACCGAAAATTTTAAAATGGTAAAGTTAGGAAGAATTTCCCGGGGTCAAAGGTCGGGGAAACGTCCATTCAGTGAAGCGTCCCGGGCCAGATTATTTTACTCCGGCCGTATTTTGTTGACCACTGGGATACGCAAACTACCGTGTCTTACGGCGGAGACGAGTCCAGCAATCCTTTCGCGTGTGATAATCGCACACGTGATTCAAACCTACGAAAGCACGAAGAGTACCGTAATAAAGTGCCCGATGTGCCGAACAAAACCAGGTTTCGCGAAATCGCCCCCCTATGTATCGTTTTTGCCCACCTGGGGGGCGATATCGCCCACTTTGGGAGTCACTGCATTAGATCACCAAGTCTTGAGTAGATATTGCCGAATTGATTTTTGTTTTACCATTTCACATGTAATGGTTTTTGGTAAAGCTGTTATCTATCGTGAATACAACATATTTTGACTATGTTGTAGTGGAATTTATTTGGCCTCTTCTTTTTGACGTAATTGTAACTGAATCTGTTGGGGCTCAGCCCAACAAAGTTACAAACAGAATATTCAATATAAGTTGCAAAACATGATAATGTTGTTGGAATACCTCGGTATTTTACCACCTGTATATCACCCATTTCTGAGAACATTAAAGAAATCAAGTCTAGACCCCGTTCTCGTGAATTTTGTTGTTGTTGTTGCTGAAATTCGAGGGACAAGCCAGAGGAGCACGGCCGCCTCTTTCAGTTTATGACATAGTTTCTTAAACGAGGACCTCGGCCCCGCTTGGAGGCCACGGTCAGGTTATCTGGGTGCCACGAGCAAATCTGGGAGCACGAGCCTTCATTGTGTACTATTCGCGACGACCGCATTGATTTAAACTAAATCGATGAAGATCTGTGTATTTTTGTAGAAGAGCAGAGTGTTGATCCTTGCTAACAAATAATTGACTGTCCTCCACCGGGTTTATATTTGCACTAAAGCTGTGCACGTCCACTTGAACCCATGTCGTCTGCAGTAGGCAGGCTTGTATTGCTAATTGCAGCAGTAGCGGATATTTTGAAATGGTGCTCTTCATTTTACGTGCATGTTATGATATAACAGTTTTCCCAATCTATGGTTTGCGACCCAAATCTGGGTCGCCTGAATATACTTTTTGTTTTCAACAAATACATATCTGAAAGGAATTTGATTTGATTTTCTATCAAATTTCACTATTGATTAGGATTCTTACGATATTGTTAGTTGCAGCAGATATTTGTAAACGCAGCTTTTTATTATATATACGCGTATGTTATAACAGTGTCTCCCGGCCATTAAGTCGCGATCCAGAGCTGGGTCGTCTGAAAACCCTTTTGGTTCGGTGTATTCTCAGCAGAAACACCTAAAAGTTCTTGGTTTTATTTTCTAGTAAGTTTTACTGTTTATTTTGTACTTAGTATTGAATAGATAGAATTGTATATGTTGGAAGTTTCACAGCATAAAAACCTGAAAGTATCTGGAATCGCCTCTGATTACCCTGCGTGGGTTCGCATCCCATGTGGGATGATCATGTGCGAGAGGATTGCCTGACTCCTCGCCGTCGAGGGTGGTTCACGTAACCACTGGTCGATTGCCGGCTTCCTCAACCATCAAGACCATGCTTACGAAAACAAATAACTGGCTAATTAATGCCGCTAACCGGACGATGGGCCGTGGTTTGCCATGCGATTATGCCGCCTTATCGCCCCAGAGGATAAATATGTAAATCCTATGTAGTAAAATAAAGATTTATGCACAACTGTTTCGAGAGTTCAGAGATACCTGCCACTGATCCCCCAACCTATTGTGTTTCAGATTAATTTGGATAACTTATGCGAAAACAGGACTCAAAATATGGAATTTCGATATGAAGGTAAAAAGCACAAGTAAGCTATTGTGGCGTCCGTGGACTGCATAAAAGCCAAAACAAGAGTAAGATTTGGAGTGGCAGCTGGTTGTTAATAGCTTTTAAAAATTATTCAATTAGAATCATGATACTAAATTTTTAAGTTAGGATTGCTTCCACCGTCCACAAATAAAAAATATGCAACTGTCGTACTTATCAAGTAAATTGCAGGATGCATTTAGAGAAGAAACACAGATTATACTTTAACCAAGCTTGCTTAACTCAAATTATAAAAATAAGATTTTAGACAGGGTGCCAAAGCCATCAGCAAAAAATACCTATATCCGTTATCCAATGGATGGCAACTGTATGATAAAAATATTGCAGACATCTGTTGTGTTGATTCAAATATGGATCAGGAAATTGGAAAGTCATATATGGCTATGAAATATTACACATGTTCCCAACAGAGGCACGAGATTGTGAATTGTGGCTTACGATTGAGGGTTATTGAAAAAAAGACTACAAATTTGCATTTTGTACTACATTGGCTCTGCGTTCCCCAGTATCAGGATGAAATGTCGAGAGTAAAATAATTCAAAAGAAATAGGTATATTATTAAACGCAACAAAACAATACAGCCGAATACAAACACATTGATATCAAATTTAAATTCAAGGCAATCATAAATTCAAATTTACATAGATAAAGAGATCAACGAACTAACCATATCATACTTGAACAGTATGTGTGTCCAGCAACCTCCTTGATTGAATTGCTGTATTCTTATTACTGTCATTGCAGTGCATCTCAAATCCTGGAAGATGATAGTTTTTCAAGGCAGAAGATTAAATTCATGAACAGAAGTTTTAAACCGTAATTGATTGAATGCAGGCAGAAAAAACGATAGTTCTGAATGATTCAATTCCAGCATTTAAAATTTGCACCAAAAATAGTTATTAAATAACTTTTTTTCTTTCTGCCACAGAAATTGGGATGAATGATATATTCTAAACATAAAGATTAGACTAAAATGAACATGCTGATGTACCGTTGTATAACATTAACTCTCTTAAGCAATTAGCGAAATTATAAAAATGGCAAAATTTTTTGGAATTGAGTTTGGCTATTGAAAATACTTGAAATATTGAAAAACTGAGTGAATAAGTCCATAAATAAGCAGCTTTCAAGTGCTTTAGTCATCTTGTGTCATTGAATTGAATATTTTCCATCAATTTCTCTTGCAAATCAAAATTCAAATGAAATTAGGTGAAAAAGCTAGAAATTTTTTTTGAAATGCAAAAATCTTAATTACTGGTACTTAAAAACAGAAGGTTTTGGTTACAAAATTAATTCTGGCCAATGCATGGCAGGTATAAATTTGCAACAAAAATGCTAGTAACCCTGCAAAAATATAATTACAAGGAAAACAGGCAACAATAAAACTGCACTGCAAATAAAATAATCTATATGTACAATATGCAGTGAGAAAATGATAATAAGAATCACCAATTCAAATCACAACATATCACCATCTGCAACTTTAAACAAATATTTGGGATAACAGAATTCATAACCGATTAAATACCAGTTCGAAGTTTCGAAAAATAAAAGTTTCCGCATCTTACGGTATATAAATTTTTAAGATGATCATCTTCAAGTAGGAATCAAGACAGACACTAGGTGCACAAAAGTAGTTCAATATAAAATCTCAAGACCTTATAAAATAGCAATATATCCACTAAATTTTCTCTTTCGTCTCAATTGATCTCGGAAGATACATTTTATAGATTTAAAATAAAAGCAGTCTTTCAAAAAATACAGATTTGTGAGAATAATTAGGAAGTACTACTAAAGTCCTAATGATACAATAACTTCACAACTTCATTGACTTTTCCTTATTGTAAATCTGTAAGATATTGATACTATCAAGTCAAACCTTCTTTATACATATGTATTTTATAAAATTATTATCACAAAACAAGATTAGTTGAAGATACAATTGTATTATTATTTGATTTGTATTACATTAAATTTGTGTTAGGTTTTGATGCTACCAACTATATTATACTTCATTAAAATCGAAGTACTAAAACTGGTGAAGTTGAGGCTTCATTCAACATAGTTTGCAATTCCAAAAATGCGAGTGGGCATTTTCAATATAAACTCAGTCTGACAAATATTCAGCTGTTATTAACACTGCCAGTTATAGGCTTGAGCAAGCTATCGGACAAACAGGATGTCTAACATTCCTGTCCTGTATTTAAGATCACATGTCCTTTGCACAGTACATCTCTTTTAATGTCTTAAGTTCATCGATAAGTGCCTTATTTTGAGTTTCCAGTACCTGTACCCTGTTTTCCAGACACTTAATGTACTCCTTCTTTTTGCGTCGACAATCCCTTGCTGCTTCTCTATTCTTCATTAATCTTAGCTCTCGTTTTCGGGATGCTTCTTCTGCCATTTGCTGCGGCGTTTGCACTGTGTTGGACGGTGAATTACCAGATACAACAGAAAGCTGGCCACCACCTGTTGAGCGAATTTGGTATGCCTGAAGATCACCACCACTGCCTTGGACAACAACATGACTTCCAGGCACCCACAGCTGACCATCTTGCTGCACTATAGCCTGTCCCTGACTCAGAGCATTTGCCACAGAAAAAGTTTGCATGTCAGATTGGTCGCTTATGGAAGGTGTAGATATCTGTATCGTTTGTGGAGCCTGTTGAATAGTAACAGTGCCCGTACTCGTTTGGTATGCTATTGTCGGTGTATTGATTGAGATTGCACTCAAGTCAGACTCTGATTCAGATTCCTCAGAGGACTTATTTTCGCTTAGCACTTCCATTTTCACTGCGGGATTAATTCCACTAGGGCTATCACTTGACAGGTCACTCAATATTTTTCTATAAGAAGGACGCCTAGAAAGGATTTCCCGCTGTCTTTTAGCTGTGTCAGAATTAGCCTGGGTATCTTCCGATGAAGTATTCCTGGTAGAATCAGTTCCGTTGTTCAGTTGATTAGGTGACTGAATAACAGATTGTTGATTAGATGTGATAACACTTTGTGTTCCGCTTTCCATTGCTGAGTTTATAGGTAAGAGAGAATCATATCGATAATAAAAGTTGTTCTTTCTACTGTTTATATAGTATAACACAGTCTAATAAAATAACAAAACCTAAAGCAAAAACACAATCTCAAAGAAATTGACCAACCACTAAATTGTTATATTTATTAATATAGATATGTAAAGCGATTGAGTAGAATGGCCTCAATCATATTTTCGGCGTAAGCTATGTAGTTTCTGCTTATTATTAGTTTCAATATACTTACCTCTAGTCTGAAAACCGATTTACTTACTCACACCATCAGTTTGTCACCCAATGAAATCCATGTTCTACTAGACCCAAGCAGTAACATATTAGCATGGCACAGATGTTAAATTTGGAATTGATTGTGAGAATGTACCAGACGAAAACAACCAACATTGTTTCGACTAGTATTATTGAGTTAAATAATTTTTTGGGATAATTCTATTCTTCAGAATACCATTATTTTTTCAATTGACTTAACCTGATAATTGAACTGCCCTATTATCCAAATTGATAAAATTTTGGGCAATATTAAATAGCCTCCTTGAATCGAAACTAATATAACTTTGATAAAATTATAACTGTAAATAGAATAGCATGTGGTATTGGATAAAATGACATTAAAACAATTGGATATTTTTCCTTATTATCTGTTGTCTAACTTAAACATATCTTACCGGTAATTACAGTTCAGTAATTTTCAAAGCATGGAATAATTATTGAGTGAAAACATGAAAAAATAGAAGTACTCAAAAAATGTCTCTTCAATACACGAGTTAATACAATTACATTATGAAATATGAAGGCTGTTAGTAGGACGAGGCAAGTCAAAAGTGCCCCTTTTTAGCTAGATTGTTCTGGTTTACTATGACAAGGTGTAGAGGACAGAAGTATTTCATTTTCGATGAGACCGGCTTCAATTGGTTCTGATATTTCTCTGGCCAATTCATGAACTCAACATATGAATGGTTAAAACATAAGTTTCATGATGTTATCTTTATATATATTTATTTCTACTTCATATCACAATGCCAAGAATACATGATATCAAAATGTGACAAATTTTGATCGATATGGGTAATAAAAAATTTGATCGAGATGATGGGATACTTACGGTACATGAAAATACTTGAAGAATGGCTCAATATCATTCAAAGATAGAATAGCAATATTCACAAATTAAAGATGTTATCGATTCCATTTATATACTCCCTTTACTTTCTTACTATTATCACACGTTAGATTGCATGAAATGTTGTTACAGTTTTGCCCTTTATTGCATGAACAGAGATATTCCAGAAATTTGGAAAACTACACAAAACTACAACTACTTTGTTTCTACAGTTAATACGATGATAATGAGGAGTAAAGTAAACATCTTCATATAATTCTTTCTTCCTGTTTATAGGCAAAATCACAGTTCACATATTCCAGGTAATCTAAGAAGTAAATTAATCTGAAACAACTGGGCGACATGTTATTTCATCTTGAAAATGAAATAAGTCTGAAACATTCCTTTAAATTTTCAATAATTCCTAAAATATTAACAACATGAATAAACAAAATTATTTATCAGGAAACGTTCCCATTAAGATGCTAAAGACAATGTCATCATAATGTCAATACAAGAAAGTGGAAGTAAAAACACACTTTGCAAGTTATTAATTAATGACCATTTGTCATATCATCATTTCAACAAGAAAATATTAGCGCCCCTGTCAAGCTATGAATCAAAACAAAATTAAATAGTTATGGAAAACACATAACAGAGAAAACAAAGATAAATAGGTGACTAAACATAATTCTTTATTAATATATACCCCTAGCATTGTGCAATGATATTGTGTTACTATAATAAGTTGTCTTCATCAGTTCAAATAAATTGCAAATTCCAAATTTGAATCTCTAGCTATTTACAGAATTCATTTGCTAGTTATGCATGCTATCCTATATTTGCAATACATGGAGAGACATTTTAGGGTCTCGTGTAGTTTTGTACCACAATAACTTCTGGTGGGCATGGCGTAACAATTTTTGCATATGTCATTCCTTACCCCCATGTGATTACGTCATCCGAAAATTACGCCACTGTGATGTAATAGGGCCCCCCAAAATATACAGATTGTCGTCCAAAACCACAGACGATTATCTGAAGTTGAGCTAGCTATTTCTCTTGTTTTTTTGTCGTAGTGATCCTGATTTGAGAGAGAGCTGACGTTAGTGAGCTCGTAATCAGCGGCACAGCTGCCATTTTGGGCAATCGTAGCTATATTTTTTAAGCTCTATGACATGATTGTAGTATAATTTTTGGTAGCATAGTTCTGTAGTTAGGTGGGGGTTAGCGGCTAGGAATAGCATACAGACATATCCAAAAACTGTTGAGCCAAGCTAACTAAAAGTACATGTGGTACAAAACTACACCAAACCCACAGTTTATAGGTATTCGTTGTAAACGTAACCTAATCCAAACTTCCAGTTGTTCTTGATATATGATGTTTCGTTATTTCATACTAAGGGAAGATACACAATGAGAAAAAAGAGCCAAGACCAATCTGTAATCTCAGATTGGAATACTTTTTGGTTATATTCGTATACGATTAGGTGAAAGGTTACAGTTCATCCAGGTCTGCAGCTGTAGTACAGCGATAGCAGGATAGATACCGGTAACAGAAACATTCTCTTTTCACTTTCAATACCAAAAATTCTAATACCCGTACCAAAATTTCGGTTTTGCAAGGTCTCTAACGATTTATGCAATCCGTCATCCCTGGATCACTATCACCAGATCACAGACCAGGATATTACAATATTCTGATATTATAAATTACCGGGTACCGTAAAACGTTAATTTACCCTATTAATTCTCTGATTTTATTTGTATCAGTGTACCGGTAAGCTGTCTTTATACCTTTCATTTGTAGACTACAATATTATCAGACCATTTACTGATTTAAAGATTTCAGTATTTCTCCATTTCTAATCCTGGTCAGTATTCATGAATTCCGTTGCTGCATTATTCAGTTATTGTCTGGCTTATGGCGGGAACGTGGGGTGACCCAAATACTGTGTCCTTCAACTTTCATTTCATAATTTATCGTCCTTATTTGTTGCTGAAATGGCTTCAAGTGTTTTATTAATTTGGCATCGCCCAAATTCAAGCTAAAATCGAAACGAAAATGCGGGAAACGGATTCAATACAACAGCACATGCCCAAAAATCTTTTCATCATTCCCGGGTCTAAGTGACGTCAGCTTGTAAATAACTACGTATCAACTTACTTTAATACATATCATGAAAATATTCTATACTTTTTCTGCTTTGTTTTGAACTACTTCAACACCAAACTATTTTTACAAATACTAGCGTAAGTGTGACGCAATTTTCGTCATTAGTTAAGCCGAACTGTGACGTTTTCCCCTGTTATGACATCAAAGATGGCTGCTGCGTAGACAATGACGAAGAAGTGTTGATGACTCATCGAGCACGGAACCACATATTTCTAGAAATATCTAAAATCACTTCAGCAATTTTCGAAAAAAAACTTAATTTTAAAAAGGGACTTATAATATGGTTTATTCATTGACAGATCACTCTATATTTTAGTCAAAAGAGATATTATATCGGTCAATGATGTAGAGGTAAATATCCGGTTCCATGATAACGTTTTATAACCAATGGTATGGTTTTACCAAAAATCTGTGTGTTTCGATGATCCAACCCGTGCTCCTGATTTTATTGCACTAGTATGTGTATAGTAGAATAGAACACATCCATATTTGGATGTTCAAAATCCATCTTGTTCTGTTTTAACTTACATTCATTCATAAGTATACAAGTTACCCAAATAATTGATATCTTTCCCTGCGCTCCCATCTATTTCGTTTCGATTATTGGACACGGTAATGGACATAACGATCGTTTCAATATTATGCTGTTGTTGTTCTTTGACACTTGTTGGACACCTAGTGGAAAATCTAAAAAGTCGCTTTTCTCTTTGATTACTGGACCAATTGCTTTGAAATTTTTAGTGGTTAAAGATGAAATTTTTCTCCAGAAGGCTATCACTTTTATATATTTCAAATATCTCTGTTGGCTCTGTGAGATTTGTTTTTGCTTGCTATGATGTCACCGAACGTTCTGCGGACGCTTCTGTTCTTCTGATCACGTGCCATCGAACGTCGATGGTTCGTAATGGAATCCTTGCTTTGCTAAGATTTGAGGAATGGTGAATGGCGAATAGTGCCGTACTTGGTGTTATATAACAGTAGTGACTCGGATCGTTGGTGTTACTACGGTTGTGAGTCGAACCATCTTGCAATTTCAATTCACGCTGTCACAAGATAGGAACTTCTAAAGATAGGGCAGTTCCGGTACCGTAGGCGTAACACAATGGGTGACACCGAACTAACTCGTAGCTGTCTGGTAAAAGCGGGGCTTGTTTTTTAAATTTTGTTCCAATGATGGAGAAGGGAATGAAACGGATTACTTAATATTTCAATTCATGTTGCAATTGAATGGAGAAGAGTAGATCATTGTCACGGGACATGTGAAATGGGAGGCAGACAACTCGACTACACACGACCAACTCACCAGAGACAACTCGACTACATATAGACCTGGTGAGTTGTCCGTGCAGTGAGTAGTCGAATTGCCCATCAGCCCTAAACGGCTATGACAGTCAGTGTACCAAAATTTGTAACCCGATTCAGGTGGTATTAAGTTGACGCATGTTATTTAGTAACGTTTTTATGTGAAATGTTTGACTGTGGTTCGGTACTTGATCCGGTAATACGGTAGGCTACATAGTTGACTCATATCACGAGATATTTCAATTGATGTTTCAATATATTCAAGAAGAATAGATCATTGTCACATGACCTAAAATATCTATGACAGTCCCTGTACCGTCACCGTACCCCTGTTACCGATACAGGTACTGGTAAGTCACCGCATATGATTTTTGGCGAATTGTTCTGTGTGTCCATATATTTGAGCGTTTCTCTCTTGTTCGGATGACGGAACAGTTTTGCCGGCTTGCCAATTAAAATGTTTGAATGTTTTCTTTGTGAATAAAAAATATCCTCCCAAAAGATAGACGCATTTCTGACAGTAA